ATGGAGATCCTAGTTTTTTGAAGGGAGACAAGCACGGAAATGAACAGTTACAAATGAATGAGGGAAGTGAACAGTAGACATCCATGCAAAGTCTTCAAGTGCCCAAAGAACACTTCTGCCTGCTGCTGTTCATCAAAGGCAGTAGGCTGGGATCCATTACCATTTTCTCTAATAAAACATGTAACAGCCCCAACCCATTAGCTCTAAAGTGTGATACTCACTTGGTTAATGTTTATTGAATTTGGCACTGCGTACATAAAAGGACACTGGTCAGTGTGCCCCCAGGAAAATAACAATTAACCTAAGTAATGCAGGCAAGAGTCGATGCTAAAGTAGTTATTTAACCATGTGGAAAACACTGTGTACATAATCATGTTCTGGGAAAGTCGCTGAGTGAAAGTTAACATCTTTTTGTGAAGGCCTCCGAGAAAAGGTGGGGGTTCTGGTTGGAAACATGTGGCGGGTGTCAGCTGACAGATGGCGAGAAGGAGGCAGTTCCGGACACAGGCTTGAAACAGAGAAGTTAGTGTGGGAAAGTGCGAGCAAACTGACCCCGTCGTGCAGAGAGAGTGGGCAAGGCGTGAGTAAAGACAAGGAGCATGAGAAAGAGTAAGAGGAAATGCTGTTTGGTGGGTGGAATTTGTGTCTTGCATCTGAAAGTGTGGATCTGAAGAGGGCAGAGGATAACCACACCGACTGGAGCGAGATCCCCTTTGCCCAGCGGGGAACCCGTCACTCTTCATCAATTCTCGGACTGAAATCTCTCCTCCTGTAGCAAGTGCCATCCAGAGGCTACACGTCTTCACAGAACAGAAAGTCCCCCAGATCTTGATAATTCAACCCAAAGACTCTCAATTCAAAAGATTCAATTCAAAAGACTCTCAAATAGTTTCCCAAAGTGCATTTCTTGGAATGAAAGCAATAATTTTCATCCCCTTTCTAAGACCAAAGGGTCGCTTCCCATAACTCCATCACAGACGATCTGTGAATTGCTATGGATTCTAAATGTGAATTAATACGGTGGGTGACAGACAGAGATGCTTAACACACACCACAGGCACATGGATGACTCCTCCTTCCCACAGGGTTAACTACCTCAAGACCCAGCTCAAAGACAGTCTTTCCTAAGCCCTAGAGAGAGGTCCTCTGCTTTAATAACATTTGGCACCTTTTTCTTAAAATGCTACTTATCAAGTTATAATTATTTGTTGACATGTTATTTTTTCCATTAGACTGTGAGCCCCTCAAGGCCAGGAACTACGTTTTGTACAATGCTTTTTCGGAAGGGGCTGGCAGATTGCCTGGCCCCCCGCTAAATTCCTTGAGTAAACTTTCCCATTAAAACTGCAGTGACAAGTAGTAGCCACCAGATGGCAGTGTGTGGACATTTTTCCCTTACCAATCAAGAAGGCAGGGAAGGGTTTTATAGATTTTATAGCAAGTTGCCTTTCATCTTTTTGTCCTTGCAAACAAACAGATCTCTACAGAGAGCAGGACTTTTGACTAGGCGGTAGAATTCAAATCCAAAATCAGAACTTTGGGCAGCCATTGTATTCCCTATATGCTGCTCCTTTATGAAAACATCATTCTTCCCAAAGCCTGAGAAAGGATTATATTTTTCTCTGTTCCAAGACAGAGACACTGGATTTGAATTTGGCTTTCACAAGCACAAGGGGACCATCTTTTCAGCACTTAGGAAGAATGGCCACCAACACCCACTGATTGGTGACATCTGTTGAGGTTCCTTAACCTCCTGCCCACCCTCATCTGCCAGATCCAAGCAACAAGCAAATGTCAGCCAAATGTTTCAGGCTTACTTTTGAAGCCAGTGTCTTCCCTGGGTTCCAACCTCCTTCCCCACTGAAGAGCATTTTACTTGTCAGGCCAGGAGACCTACAGATCATCTTTCCCTCTCTTCCAGGCTAGAACTTAGAGGTACACTTAACTGTAGAACCCCTAGCCTCTTTACCTGTGCTGGTCTCTGGAACTCAGAAACAAAGGGGTTTCCAAATAGGAGACATCCCAGTTCAAATGAAAAGACTTTAAAAAGTCCAAAAGCAAAACTGGTCTCAAGTTTCCACTTTTTCCCTGCCTCTCCCTATTGCTGTTTTGTCAACTCTTTTGCTCTCTAACCATGTGTTGCAACTGCAGGTATAGTAGTACTGCATGTGGAAAGCTGTTGTATCCACCAGCATCCACAATGCCCCAGCTCCTACAAACTTTTCCTTCCTATGGACTTTTTCTTTCTCCATTGTCAGAGTAGAAGTTATAATAGAATATGAGGCCAGAAGATTTTGAGAGCTCAACTTCTATTAATCAAAGGAGTCTTTTTTAGTTCTAGGGGAGTTTCAAGGGTCCACCCTGGAGATAAAAGTCACTGGATAACTCTGCCCTCCTCCTCATCCTAGTCGTTAAGACTACTAGGATAGTGTAGTAGTTAAGACAAAGGCTCAGGAGTCAAACACACCTGGGTTAAAATTCTGGCCCTGCCATATCCTAACTATGATCTTGGGTGAGTTATTTAGCCTCTTCAAATCTTAGATTCCTCCTCTGTAAAATGGAAAAATATAAACATACCTGAGAGGGATGCTGTGCAGATTAAATGATAAGACACGTAAAGTGTCTAGCACAGAGCCTGTGTACAGTGTATTACATAATGTTACATAATGTTAGCAAATACTATTAGCACAAGCATTTGCAGAAGTACGCTGGAGAGGGCACAAATCCCTAGAAATAATTCTTGGTTTCATATTCAACACAGCTTCAGAAACTTCTAAGAATCCAAAACCTCTTCATAAATCATACCAAGACCCACCCTTTAAATGAGATCCATATTCCTTTCATCTATTTATTTTTTCATTTACTAGGATTTAGTTAGTCCACAAGCTGTGGCAAGCTCAAGGTAGTCGGTGGAGATACAAGGACGTGTTAAGCATGGTCTCTGTCCTCAAAGAGCTCACAGTGTATTGAGGAGACCGGCCCACAAGCAATTATAATATGGTGGGATTGGTGCTCTAACATAGGTATGCATGAGACACAAAAGATACAGAGGATAGGAGTCTGAGCCTCTGGCACTCCATGATCTAATTCTTGTCTTCCTGGAAATATCTACTCCACCAGTTGTCTTTTTGAGTCGCATTATGTTGTCTCATACTCCTAATCATGACACTGGCTGTTCTCTCTGCATGGAATACCCTTCTGCTTGGTACTAATCCTGTACTAATCCTCCAAGTCTTCTTCAGTTTTCTCAAAGAGACTTAGGGGCTCCTTCTCTTCTTGGCTGTGATCTAATTGAAGGTGGGGGTCACATCTTCACACTGTGGCCACCAGCACTTAGTGCCCAGCACAAAACTGATATTCAATGACCGTGGTGCATAAACAAAGCTTTAATGCATCCCTCATGCAACCAGTGCTGCCTGCATTTCATTCAGTATGAGAAAAATCAGCTGATGTGCTGAAGAGTCTCCTGTCCCACAAGCCACACAGACCCATTATAGGAAAGCTCTGACTGCTGCAGAAAACATTCTAATATCATCCAAATTTTCTTTCCTTTTAACAACCACCAATTTTAGCCTAGTTTTGCTCTTTAGAACAATGAAGAATAAATATATCCTTATTATCTTCAACATGGCATCCCTTTACATATATGAAGACATCAGAGAGATATAATATCAATATAAGATTCTCTTTTGTGTTTTATTATTTTCAAACATGCACAACTAATTAAGCCATCGTTAACACACATTCTTAAGTGTCTGACATGTGCTAAGTACTTCTTAGTAGCTTGAGTGTTGCAAATTTAGTCCTGATGCCCACAATACCATCCCAGTACATTTAAGTTCCAATTTGCTTCATTGTGTTAATTCCAGTCCTGTGTTCTGGAAGCTCTAGATCATTTTAGATAGTAATATTTTTGTTATTATGGCTACTCATTTATTGAATATATGTGCCAAGCATGATGCTAGGCCTTGACACACTTCTTTTTAAATTCTCATATTGATCTAAACATATAAACAGCCCCATTGCTATTATAGAGGTGAAGAGACTGAACTCAGAGAGATTAAGCCCCTGTTCAATGTTACCTTGCTGTTAGCTGTCAGAGACAAGAGGCAAGGTCTGCCCATTCTAAAGCCAGAGTTCTTTCTACTTACTATGACATACCATCTTTTTGTACCAGTCTGTGGTATTTGCTTTTTATTTTACTTTGGTCTCATCTGCAAATTTGGGCATTCCCTCTTCTAGATAAAAATTCAAGTCATTAATAAAAAACATTGAACCAAAAAAAGGCTTGTATTCCTCACCAGAAACCTCCTTCTGGATTACATGGAACTGCCAGCAACCCTCAAGAGCCATTTTTGTTCACCCATCCATGAAACCAGTGAATGAGACACAACTCTGCTCGAATTTCACCCACTCATGTACAGTCAACTCTCAAGGGGTCATGTTGAGTCCATTGCTAAAACTTCCTCATCCCGCTGATTTGCCAGTTGAGTAGCATGATAAGAAAGGGAAATGGGGTGTGTGTGGCACGACTTGTTTATGGTAATCTAGTATTAGCTTCTGGTCATCAGTGCCTATTCTTCAAAATGCACACAAATCAGTTAGGTAATGATCTGTTCCAAAATTTCAGCGAGAATCAATATAAAACTCATACTATTTCCTGGCTTCAGTGTTTAGTCCTATGATATGATGCAAATAATTTCCTTGATTTAAAGGAGAAACCCCTGTGAACCTATCAAAATATTATCTGTTCCCAGGCCTATTGACAAACACGCCCACTCACATCCCAGCTATATTTTAATGCTCAGTTTGACAGCAGAATCACTTGCCTCTCTGTTCTCAAAGTGTGAAGTTACACCACTATTTTATGTGTCTGCAACACCCTGTATCTCCTCTTCATTGCTTATACAGCACCTGGAAGAGTATTTGGTTAAATATTTCTAAACTCACAATTAAAGGTTAAAAATACCTTAAAATTGCAGGAGCAAATCGTGACTTACCTAGAAGGTATGTGGATCCCAGAAGTCTATTTACAGGAAACAAAAGCTTTCTGGCCTCATGTGGTTAAATCAGGAGGGTATAGGCGATTCTTAATGTTCATCTTTGTATTCCCAGTGCCAGAAACACAGTAAGGGCTCAAGAAGTATTCATTACAGGGAACAGGGAAAAGACAATAATGAGAATATGTATACCCTCGAGAGAGAGAACCCATAGTTTTAAATTCATACTAAAACATGTATGACTGATATGAGAAGCTTTCTAGAAAGCAGATATGGTCAGAAGAGTGTGGGAAGAGTTCCTGAAGATTCGTGAAGTAGTGTAGGAGGAAAGGGAAGAGGAACATAAAGGGCTGGAGGGAGCTGCACTGAAAACAGTGGAACAAGTCATGATGTTGGAGACAGAGGCTCAAGAGTCCAGCCCCCAGGATTGCACCATTAGCTGTTGGCCATTGGCTAAATCTCACACCTTAATGGAGTCCCATTTCTTAATTGATGTGACAGAGGCAAGAATTCAAATCTCACAGAAGTACTGTGGGCATCAGTGGAGGGAAAGGATATGAAAGCATGTTATCAAATCAGTGTCATTTGCACCTAAATCTGGGTTGGGGTCAGCCTGAGTAGAGCACCAAGGGATTCCAAGAGTGTATTTAGGATAGATTAAGAGACTCCTTCTTAACTGGGCTCTCAGGCTAACTTGAAAAGGTTCTGATGGAGGAAAAATGTTGACCTCCACCAAGTTGAGCAGACAGTGCTAATGCAGTATGGGAGCAGCAGAGACAAAGCCGTAGAAGTATTCATCCAGCTCCTCATTCTCAACTCATCCACAACTCAGCACATCCTAAACTGAAGTTATAATCTTTTTCAGAGAACCAGCTTCTCCTCCCAACATCCCTATTTGTTATTGACAGACAGTATCTCAAGCCACTTGGGCCTCAAATCCGTGTCCTCATTGTCAACCTTGAAACGTATAATTGTCATGCTGAGAAGCCCTTCAACTGCTCTCAGACCCAATATCCTTATCTGTAGAATGTAGATAATGCCACCTGCTCCTACTTTGTTTCAGCATCTTGTGAGAAAAATCTGATGGATATAGAAGCTTTTTGAAAACTGTAAAATGCTATAAAAAACAAGGATGGTCTTAATAATTGCAGTATTATAGGACTAAACCTGAACAGCTGCTTTTGTCTAGCTTGTACACAGAAAATTAACTTTTAAAAAATCTCATATTTAGTAATACCAAAAGATATTGGTTCAAAGAATCATGACTACTACTTGTATAATCGTTCTACTGTTTTCTGGCTAAATAGCTTAAATCTATGATGTTCTCATGCTGAATGGATTAAGAAAACCACTGCCACATTAAAGACAAAAGATTTAGAGTATATATATATATATATTAATGAGGTGGTAGGAAGTAGGCTGACATTAAAGTAGGTCTGGAAGTGTTCGGTTTCTCTAATTGAATAGAGCTAATGAGTTTCTCCACTGAGCCTGAGCGCTGGGCTAAACAGTCTAACGAGCTTCTGATTTCTGTGATCTCAATGAGGGATGGCCAACTGGCAGCCGAAAACAGTCTGCGTCATGGGGTGATTCATCCTTCACACCTTTGGGTGAAACCTTCCTGTTAGAACACAGGAGCAGGTTGCAAGTCCCATGCAGGGTTGACGCTGGAGTCTCTGTGGTCTTCACTCACATCCAGGGACCGTAGCACCATGTCACAGCAATGAGGTGCAGAGAACAGCAAAGCAAAAGCCTCTACAGATGGTACATCAGGGCTGGGAACAAAGAGGCAAGGAGGAGACAGAATTTACTTTAACCCACCATAATTAAAGAGAGGGTGGGAGGTGGGATCCAGGGGAGGCATGCCTCCACCCTCCCCTTAAAGCTTACCCACATGTTTGGGAGATAGGTTGAAAAAATTAAAAGACTGTTTAGCATATCTTCGGTTCTTCTGTGGAGACTTCAGCTATAATCAATCCCTTGACTTAGTTTCCAAAGCCATTTTTGATCTGGCCCAGTCTCCCTCTCCACTCCTGGCCACTCTCCCTCTCCACTCCTGGCCACTCTCTGAATTTCTCACCCACCCCCCACCCACAGGCACAGGGAACAGGGGTGTAGCTTCTCTCAGACCTGGATGTGTCTTCTCAGGCCTCCACCCCTCTGTGGGTGCTGTCTCTCCTGTCCGAAATGGCCAGTCTTTCCTCTGCACATAGTACATCTTCCTGAGTGGGGGCACCTGTTCTGCAAAGGCTGTCCTGAACCCCTCCTTTTCTTGTCACTCTGCTTTCCCCAGTCCCTCAAACTGTCCATACTTGGTGCCATTCAGGTCTTTGCACATTCTCTTCCCTCCATCTTTCTCATTCTCATTGTCACTCATTGCTCAGGTCTCCACTTTGGTGCAACTTAGGAAACCATTCTTTGGTATCATACCCCCTTCTAAATTAGGGCCCCATCTAATTTTCTACTAGAATCCTGTTGTCTCTCTTCATAACACTCATATCAGCTTTTAAGTAATAAATAAATATACATAGTATGTCTACTTGATTAAAGTCCACACACACAAATACTTTAGTATAACTTTGATAAATTTCAAGCAGTATTCGTTTTATTCTTCATTGTAGATCCAGCACATACTGGGTGCTCAATAAATATTTGTTGAACAAATTCTCTCCTCACACTGCTCAGAGCACTTTGTTCAATCTTTGAACATAACATTTATTTTCTAGTAATGCAATTATTTGCTTACATATTTATCCCCATCTCTGGATTTGAGCTACTCAAGACACACTATTACAGATCACATCATCTTATGCCTTCTTTTTCTTTTTCTTTCATTTCAGGATATTACAGGAGAACAAATGTTTTGGTTCATATTGCCTCACATATTGCCTTTGCCCCACCCGAGTCAGTTACAAGTTATTCATCCCCTAGATGGTGTGCACTGCACCCATTAGTTGTGTGTATACCCTTCCCCTTCTCCCCGTTACCACCTGCCCAATACCTGATGAATGTTATTACTATATATGCACATGAGTTTTGATATTATTTGATTTTCACCTGTGTTCGAGATTCTTGGAACAGCTTATTAGACACATCCCTGATGCCTAACACTTTGACACACAAACAGTTTTAAACAAATGAATAACTAGAATGCTTTTCCCCCCATTTTTTCCTGACTTCTAAAAGTATTTTTCATATATTATAGTATATTGGCATCCCATCACTTGGGTATCTCATACACCTCTTGTACATGTGTTTCCTGCTTAGAGCATATTCAATAAAATCTATGGAACTTCAGATTTACAGAATAGATGCATAATGAGGAAAGTTACTGCCATGAAAAAAATGTGTTTTTTCCCACAACATAAACAGAGACCTGTAGGCATGAAGCTCCTCTCCCCCACATCGGATTTAAAGTGCGAATTGATTTATTGAAAACTGCTATTTGTGAAGTTTTCAATTGAAAGTCTACTTTATAAAGCTCGTTGTACTTGTGAACAAATAGGTACACTTTCAAGCTGTGTTAAAGTAATCAGGCAAATCCTCATTCATCCCCAGAGAGGAACAGGCCAGTGGCATTGTGGTCAGCTTGGGCTGCCGACATCGGGAGCAGCGTGGACATACCCAGGCAAGTTTGAGAGTAGGGGCCAAAGGAGTTGAAGGACTGAGAGGTGCTGAATAAAAATAGAGCGTGCTTACAGTGTGCATGGTTACCCTTTTTAAATACCTGAAGGACTGTCACTGAATTAAGCTTTTTCCGCATGTCCCAGGAGAAAGGCTCGAGGTGGAGGTGGGATTTGTATTTAGTATAAAGAAAAATTGTTTATCGGAGTTGTACAGAGGAGAATGGGCAGCCTCAGAAGAGACACATTCTGGACACCAGAGGGGGGTGCAAGACGGTGAATAATGATAGTGAGTGATGTTGTGGGAGGTATTTAAGCATCAGATTTTGGAATGGGGATTGTGAGGGAGAGGTAATTAATACTAATGGCAATGATTTATCGAGGCAGCTGCTGTGCTTAGGCACAGGGTTTAATCCCATATAATGCCCTACGTTGTGCAAGTACCTCATTACCCTCCATTTCACAGATGAAGTAACTGAGGCACACAGCTTCAGAATGTGCCCAAGGTCACCAAGCTAGGGAAGGATTGATTCGGGATTCAAGCCCAGGTCCATCTGATTCAAAAGCCTGTGCTTTTAGCTGCAAATCCTGCTAATGTCCCAACTCTCATATTTGGGACTCCTTGGATATTGAGATACCAAGAAAAAACAAATAAAACATTCTCAAATGTAGCCAATGAAGTGAGTCCTTCACCTTCTCCTTTTTCTTTGTCTTCCAGTGTAATTCCTATGCTTGTGACTACAGAGCATCAAACCAGTTTTCAAGTTTACTGTGTGTCTCTGTGTGTATGTGTGCATAGATCTGACAGGGCTAGTTCATTTCAAGTAACCAAGTATGTCTTTGGACAGCTCTTGTCAAGATCCAATAGAAGAGCCAATTCCAAAAATATGTTCCTTTAGTGGTTTTTTAGGGTTCTCTGCTCTGCACGGATTGACAATGTGGTAACAAGAGACATTCTGGAGACTGGATTTAATGCAACCATATGCTAGACAGAATGAGAACCCATATTGCAGCAGACCAGCCGGTACATTTCCATGTTAACAGAAGCTTGATTGCAAATTACATTTAGTCTCAACAGCTCAGTTCACTGCACACAGATGCCATGGGGGCCTGTAAAGTTAGCGAGATGTGGGGGAGTACGACTAACATTTTTTTTTTGAAAAAAAAAAATCCTTCAGCTGATAGAATGCCAAGGAGCATCAGCGCTGATGCTGAAAAGAAAATGCTGCTATATTTGTTTTGCCAGAAAAGGAAAAATAATCATTGTCGCGAGTTGTTAGTCAAATTATGAATACGAGCTCGGCTGGTAATTGTCTGATAATACAAACAGTGATATTAGGGTTGTCAGATGCTGCATGCGCTATTTGACAGCTAACATGCACATGCTCTCTGAACGAGGAGTTGGTTCACTGATTCCAAAAGTCAGGCAGACAGAAGGGTGGGTGATTGAGCAGAACTTTCCCAGGATCCTGGCCTGATGTCCAGAGCTGGATCTGGGTCAATTTCCCAAACTGTGGTCAGCACCTCCCTATGCAGAGGAGGATCTACAAATTATGGAAAGAATGCAATGTGTGTTTGTGTTGTAGATTGATCTCTTCCTTGCTGTGCAATCCTGGGCCAATCATTTAACCTCTCTGAGCTTAGATTTCTCCTCTTCTAAACGGAGGATAATACATTCCAACCAGGTCCTCCTCCTAGGATTATTGTTAGGATCAGCTGAGAACTTTGTGTGTGAGCATACAGTAAACCACACGATGCTCTATAAATGTCGAGGCTGTAAATTGTCTACTTGGCTGAGTTTCTTTTTGCTCGCATTTTAAGAACTGAGCTGGAATGATTTCTTGTCCATTTTCTCATGGCTGAAGCAGAATCTATTTTTGTCTGGGTATAAGCACCTTTCAGTTGAAATCATTCATCTTCTTTCTTCTGAGGTGTCTGGCCACCAGGTATCTCCCTCCAGAGCACTGCCTGACTCCTGTGTCATGTTTTTTCCTCCCAGGGAAACCTGAAGGTTTCCACCAAGTCCAATCATGTATCCATAAAGCCCTCATTCTCTCCAACCTCCTGTTCTCCACACTCCAAGCTGTGGTAGACACCATTCTGCTCAACAATATGTGTTCTCACCTTAAACTCCAATTCCCAGGATGCCTTGCAGTTAAGTGTGGCCAAGTGGCTAGGTTCTAGCCAAAGGCACATGAGCAGGAGCAAAGTACACAACTTCTAGGCCTCACGTTTAAGCTTCCTATGCATGCATGATCTTCACTCTCTTTCCCTATCCATCAGCTAAGTGGCAAAGACTCGAGGAACTATAGGAGGACAGAGCCACAAGACAGAAGGAAGCTAGGCTTCTGAATGACTGCCTGGAGCATAAACCCCTGCCAACCTGTATTGGTCTGTGAAGTGAG